AACCGGTTCTCCGAACTGCTTAGAAAGTTAACAACTGGTTCTCCCGAATAGGTGCGAACTGAATGAATCCCACCACTGCACTGAATGCAGAAATTGATACTCCACAGATAAGATGCAATATTAAGAGACTGTGTTTATTAACCATTATAAAATCTTTAAAACAAAATACTGCTTTTCAGAAAATACTAACAAAGTGACTATCTCCCCATATCTCACATGGTCACATTAATTTAGATACATGCAAAAAAAATAGGAGAGAAAAAGTCAGAAAACGAAGAAAAGAAAAAAGTTAGTGATAATAATGTAGAGATGTCCTTGGATTACATTATTTTGAAGAAAAAAAAGATAAAACAAAAAGGAACCCCAGAGCAAGAGAAAGGAATGTGACACCAATCACCCCAAATTCACTAAATTGTACCAGTAGAGGCATTTTCATGGATTCAAAGTCAAGAGATGACATTTGAAGTTATAAATTCTTAATTCATCCATTCATTCTTAAAAGATTCATTGTGGCTGGACAGATCAATACTATAATATTCTCTTTCCTTGCCAATCTAATTTCAGAGACCCAAACTGTCTATATAAACACTTTTAAGAGCTTTTTTCATCCCACATAGGAATTTTGAAGTATACCCAGAGCATGAAAACGCTGTAACTAATCTTGGAGCTAATGCTCTAAAATAATTTAGATAGCACAATGATACTGTACTCAGAATAATCATTTTAGTTGTTCTAGCCTACAAGATTTTCATGCTAGTGGATATAGCTATCCCTCCTAAAATGAGTTACAAACCTAGCTTACGCCATTAAAACTGTGCCTGTTTTTATTTATTTTTTGTTATTACGATGACAATCAATTGAAATTGACATTTCCTGTTGTATGTTGAGAACGGAATTGTCAACTTTTTCATCAGGCAATAAAGGAATGTCAGACTGGATTTGTATCCTTTCCAGGAAATATTGGTAAAATTTATCCCATGTTTTTTTAGTATTTTTTTTTTTAGTATTTTATTAGGATTTATAGGCCACCCTTTTCCCTGAGGGGACTCAGGGCGGCTTACAATAGTTAGGGAGGGAGTG